TATATATCTGCGATAGTTATCTGCGTCCCCAATCTGCCGTCAGACTGCTGACAGGGTCTGCTAACAGACTCTGACATCAGATTGGCGGCAGATTGCGCGCAAAGCCTGCCGACAGACTCTGACGGCAGATTGCTCGCAGATCCTGTCGTTTCATAGGTTCTTCAATTAAATTTTTAGTAGAAAATTTTCTCATAATTTTTCATAATTACTCATAGAATGAGCGCTTTTTCATAAATACTCATAAATACTCATAATAAATACAGTGAAATACAATGAAAAAAGTTTTTCTATATTATTTTTTCATAATTTTTAAGATTTTCTCTGGTGAGATTCAAACTTCAACCGAAGACATATTTTGGATAATCGTCCGTCACCTTAGACCCTACGTCAACTCTTCACTTGATAAAAAGTGCTTTGTATTACCCACTTAAAGTTTAAGGAAGAAAAATGAAGAAAAATCTTAAAGTTTGTTCAGCTTTTAAACCGCAAAATATAGACGAATCTGTTTAGCGTATAAATAATATAAGAGAGGCACGATAATTCGAAATTAATTTTCTACCAAGGACTGTATAGAACATTACTGCAATAAAACAGCAGATAATGATATTTTTCCATTATGTTAATAAAATACTATGCTTTTACATGTGCGAATTAATTTGATCGATCGTCCAGTTCAGATTGTATTAAATTTTATCAAAATCAAAGTATGATATATTTTCAAATAAACAATTACAAAAATTCTATAAATATTATTTATATGGCGAGACTAATGTTTTATTCGGTGCCTTCAGTACTTATTACATGACGGTTAAATCGTTCAGATTTAATGACAAAATGACATTAAAAAAAATAATATGAGAAATTGTATGAAAAATTATAAGAACAATTTTTACCAGGGATGGCATATGTACGCCTTTAAATGGCTATTTAACCATTGTACTATTCTACATTTGTACTCGTTATTTCTCTATTATTATTACTTTTTTATAAGAAATATGTAATACAATTTTAAAAGTGAAAATTGTTTTTTATTGTGTATATGTGTACAATTATTGCACAATATAATTATCTTGACTTCTTTCAAAGTTGCACAATATAATTATCTTGACTTCTTTCAAAGTTTTACATGGTGTGTATGTGAAACTGCATACATTATATAATAGCATACACATGGCCCTTGATAGAATTAAATAGCCTATCTAGGAAACAGAATCTGCGCGCAATCAGAATCTGTCGACAGACTCTGCGTGCAGTCTGTCACCAATCTGTCATCAGAACAGATTCTGTGTCCAATTTGTTGCCATTCTGTCTACAGACACTGTTGACAGACTCTGCGCAAAATCTGCTCGCGCAGGTTTAGCTATCTGAGTCATTTAACGCATGGCGGGTGATCATCCACGAATCTTCTTAGATTAATAATTTAAAATTTTACGTGGTTGTTTGCAAAATGATAGAGAAATTTTTTATTCAGTTTAACCTAATCTATTTGTACACCGCAGTTCCTCCGTTAGCGGGCACGCTGTACATGACAAATACACGTATGTATATCAAGGTGTTAAGCGAGACATGCTGTATATTTCGAGTAAAATCTCAAATCTTAGTTTCAAGCAATATATCTTTGCTAATCCCATTACCCTTATATAGATTACGTTTCAACAATGATGTATCTGATATATTGTTTCTTTATGTTTATTTTCTCAGGTATCTCTGCAGTCAGGTATCTGTCAGAGCTATGGTGACGAATCAATGGAGATATCCGGCGACGAAGCCGGTGTGCGTGTCGATGTGAAGAGTCGGCGCACACATGAACATCCGCGATCCAAATTGGGTATCCTACCAAACGGTACAACGATGTCACAAGTAGAATCGTTTGAAGTAAAGGATCCGCGAACCGGTGTGATTTATTTTACCACCGATTTTCCCAATTTTGGCCTGCCGAGCGGCGTTGAGAAAATTGATGTTAAAATTGCGGAAACCCATCGGATTACATCGCCAGTCAACGAGAGTTTAGCAATTAGCTCCGACAATCAGATTTCTTTACATGGCGCAGAGGGGGTGCGAATGGAGAGTAAAGACATCGTTTGGAGCGCCGACGTGGACGTTTTTCTCAAGAGTGTCAATGGCAGTATCATGCTAGACGCTAAAGACGGCATTTCTATAGATGTGGAGAACATCCCTGTGGCGCCCATGTTTCTGCAAAATCCCGCTACGAGTCACGAGCAATACAAAGTCTGTGTGTGCATGCCACAAGGCAAGCTTTTCAAGGTACCTGTTCGCCCAGGCACTGGTTCCCGTGCGATCAATTGCGCACGAGTCGTTCGAACCCCGGACAACGATCCTTGTCTGCATTAGATCGCTGAAGACTGACGTTTTCTATACGTGAAGCTTTCGTACGGGTTTAAACAATGTACTGCACATCACTGCCAACTACGAGAAAACTACAAGTGCATACAAGATACAGGCACTCGCAATCTAATGTATTTACCGTTATTAGACAGCATCTTAAATGGTACTCTCGAGGTACGTGAAAAAGGCTGGTTTCGACACAGTATTAGTTATTAATTTATTGATACGTAAAGAAAACAGACATGAGAAGATATCTTTTGACGAAAAAATAATTTATATGATTTATACGGTTCTGTATAAGAATCTATATCGATTCATATAAATTGATTTTACTTTATAACTTTGTCTTTCTCTAAGCACTCACATATTATCATATCTAGTATTATAACTATATTAAAAAATAATTAAAAATAATTGAGGAGTTTATCTCAAAAAAGGGAATGAGTGTAATAGTGGCCTTAAAAAAAAATTCCAATTTTCCATTAGAAGAGCTTGTATGTTTACTGAAGATGTTAAAGCAAAATACAATTTAAAATCTTTTCAAGCAAAAAATTAAAAAAATGAAAATTAGAGGATACACAGCCCAGACAGCATAAGATCTCCTGAGGATGTTCTAAGGACGTCCTGAGGACGAAGAAATGTCCTCAGGACTTCCTCAGGATGTACTCTAGATGTCCCCTGGACATCTGTACTGTTAGGGAGATTATCTTGTAATTAATATTATCCATAAGAACTTTGTATGAGTTTAAGTAACTCCTCAATTAAAATAAATGTAAAATCCTTTGAAACAAAAATAATTCATATTTTAGTTATAATAGTTAACGCTCTATAGTTGTCATTTTCTATGTTTGTTCCTTGTAAGTTGTGTAATTTTATTGTCCGACTTGTATCATAATCGATCATCTCACTCTAAAGTTATTTCTTTCATTCGATATACAAAAGAGAATGCAAAGCGAAGTTGTCACTCGCAAAGTAAATAATTTTAACGCAGAATCTGCTGCAAATACAAAAAAGGTTTAGAAAAATTATAATCGTTTAGTATGGAGTACACATAATCTATTCTTTATTTCACGAATTCGTAAAATTTTCTACTAACAAGTAGCGGGTTTTAAATTTCACGTACAATATTTTCAATCCTACATTCAAATTATATGCTGTGTTAACATCAACAGCATGCAAATATGTAATGTCAAATTACTCACAATAACTCATTCATCAGCAAATCTTATATGTAAATATTAAATACAATATGTCTTTAAAAATAACTTGAAAATAATTAGTATTTATTCTGTTATGTAAAAAGGGAAACTTCTCTTTTTTTATTTTATGAATAATAATTTTGGAAATGCATCAATTAAAGAACCTAAACGCTCTCAGTAATCATTTCCTCATTACTTTCATCCATATCCTCTTGTTGCTCCTGCTCCGTAGGTGGTTCATATGCTTTGTCCAATGGGCTTGCTACAACACCACCTGCCCAAACACTCATTTCCACCGCTAATTTATTAGAGCCTTCCAACAATGGTCTGTAACCTCCATGAGCTAACACGCGTAGCAAGGTCTGTGCGGTGAGACACACGAGATCCTGTTGTTCCAATGTCATAGCAGTGTGCACACGTATGTTACCACCTTCGCACGGATCCGAAATACCTAAAGACATATTACATCAATCACTTAATTAATTTTCATTTTATAAGTTTTTTATGTGTATTATCTGACACTTTGTAGCTAATCATTTCTATATTTCCATTAATAGTATCCTCATTTGGCATACTGCCAAATTAATTTTAGAAAATTAATATTTAATTAGATAGATTTCGACAACATGTAATATATCAATAAATACGATTTTTAAAAGCCAGACAAGACTAGTATAATGCTATTTATAATAATATAGTTGTAATTAGCAATATATTGTAGTATTCAAATGTTCTGATCCTTAACCGAATCCCCTTCAGTGGATAAAGTTACATTATATAAAAGGTCATAAATACAATATAGTCCAACAATCAGAACCTAGCATTATAAGCCAAATGAGAAGACAATTCAATACAACCCCGAATACAATATCAAGAACACAACACAAGAATAATATAATTGTTTAATATAAATAAAGAAAAAAAAGAAGTGAGAATTTATAACTGACTTCGAGTCATAATCCACATGATACTATTAAGAGACTGTTTATGTTCATCCGATGATAACTAAAAATAACAATGTATAGGGGGTCCCATTTAAAACTTTAAAGTTACCCTCCGCCCCTCTTCAAGGGGGGACAGAAGTGAATTTTTGTTTACGTATTTAGAAAGGCCCCTCGAATATATAAAACTTTCTCATGAACAACTTTTTGATAGGACAAATATGTTTAGAGTTATTAACGTATAACACTTTACATGGACCACCCTGTATATATACAGGGTGTCCCGAAGTCCCATGATGACCCTTGGTGAGAACGTAGAACGGATTGAGGTGAGCAAGAAAGTCCTGTGCCGTTTTGCGATATTCGCAATAGTTTTTGAGAAATTAATTATTTTGTCTCAACAAATCAGCGTACAGAAAGCGGCAGCGGAAAGAAAGATGCCTTCGGCCGA